GTCACAGCCTTGAATACCCTATGCAGCACATGAGGTTGCTATGAACAAGAATTGACTCAACAGAAACTGATCTAGTTTTTGGTTTATTTATAAGGAAACAATGATTTGAATGACTGTATATTTCTCATCAGAAATGGTAGAGGCCAAAAGGAAGTGGAACAACATTTTTAAAATGCTGAAACAAACAACCTATAATTCTACATTCAGCAAAAAATAGCTTTCAGGACTGAAGGTGAAATGAAGACCTTCTCAGATGAAGGAAAGCTGAGAGAATACATTGCCGGCAGACCTGTTCCAAAAGAATTGCTAAAGTAGTAAGTTCTTCCAACAGAAAAGAAATGATACCAGAAGGAAACTTGCAAAATCAGGGATGAAGGAAGGACAACCAAAATGGTGAATATATGGGTAAATATAATAGATTATTCTTCTCCCCTTGAATTCTTTTAAATATATTTAAAGGTAGAAGCAAAAATTGTAACATATACAGGAGTTTTAAATGTATGTAGATGTAACATACAAGACAACTACAACATACAGTAGGGGAGGGTAAAGGGACCTGTATGGTAAGACTGCTACATTTCACCTGAAGTGGTAAAATATTGATTCTAAATAGACTGAAAATTTAAGTATGAATATTGTAATTCTTAGAGCAACAACTAAAAAACTATACCAAGAGGTATAGTAAAATTCACTGTATGTAAATTAAAATGGAATACTAAAAATATGTTCGAATAACCCAAGGAAATGCAGGAAAGGGGAAACAGGAAGAAAAAACAGGGAACAAATAGAAAACAAAAAATAAAACGATTAAACTAAATCCAAACATATTGATAGTTATATTAAATGTAAGTGATCTAAACATAACAATTAAAAGACATATTGTGAAAAAATCATCCAACTCAATGGTGTCTACAATTAGCTCACTTTAAATATAATGATATGGGTAGGTTAAAAGTAAAAGGATATCCAAAGAAGACATACAGGTGGTCAATAAATACATGCAAAGCTGTTCAACATCATTAGTCATTAGGGAAGTACAAATCAAAACCACAGTGAGATATCACTTCACACCCACTAAGATGGCTATTATTTTTTAAAAAGGGAGAGGGATAACAAGTGATGACAAAAATGTGGAGAAACTGGAACCCTTGTCCACTGCTGTAAAATGGTGCAGCTGCTGTGGAAAACAGTTTGATGGTTCCTCAAAAAGTTCAACGTAGAATTACCATACCCATTGCTGTCGAGTCGATTCTGACTCATAATGACCCTATAGGACAGAGTAGAACTTCTGCATAAGGTGTCTGAGGCTGAATCTTTATGGAAGCAGTCTTTTGCAGAGCAGCTGGTGAGTACTGCCAACCTTTCGGTTAGCAGCTGAGCACTTTAACCACTGCACTAAGAGGGCTCCTTAGAATCACCGTAAGACCCAGAAACTCCATTCCTAAGTATATACCCAAAAGAATTGAAAACAGGGACTTAAACCTATACTTGTACACTAATATTTAATGTGCATTAATCACAATAAACAAAAGTGGAAGCAACCCAAATGTCCACCAGCAGATAAATGGATAAAAATTATATATAAATGGAATATTATTCAGCCATAAAAAGGAATGAAGTTCTAATACATGCTATAACATGGATGAACCTTGAAAACATTTTACTGCATATGTGTCACATGCACATAGTATTAAATTAAAAAAGAAGTTACTCAGAGAAATTTAAGTCTCCTCCCTTCCTGACCCCCATCACCCATGTCTTTTTCCTGAAGTTAGTTGTTCGAACAGGTTTCTTGGGCATCCTTCCAGAGCTATTTTCTTTGTATTTACAAATATGTGTGTGTATCTTCCTACACAAAAGTTTCATACTGTAATTTTATCCTACACCTTGTATTTTATTTATTTGGGGTATTGATATACCATAATTCACTGAACCCATTCCATATTGATAGAATTTAGGTACTTTCTAGTTTCCTGCTATTATAAACTGTGCTGCAACAAATGTCCTTGTATATGAGTCCATTTGTACATGAAAGTATATCTGTAGGATAAATTCCTAGGAGTATAGTTGTTGGGTCAAAGGGTATAAGTATTTTTTGTTCTGATAGATAATGCCAAATTGCTGTCCATAGAGGCTAATGCTTGTTTTCCCATACCCTGGCCAATAGTGTTATTAAACTTTTTGCTGTTTCAGGCTAGGGCTTTTAGGCTTTATCCCTGAAGTGATAATAAGCCATTGAGAGATTTTTAAGCAGGGGAGTGTAACAATCAAATCTGTATTTTGGAAAGACCACTTGGGCTGCATGGAGGATAATAGTTTAGCAGAGACAAAGACTAGAGTCATGGATACCAATAAAGGGACTTTACAGTAGATTAGGCAAGATACAATTGTTGGCAGCTTGGATTAGGTACTTGGCAGTGGAGATGGAGAGAAGGAATGGATATTGAAATATTGAGGAAGTAAGTTCAGTAGGACTCAGGGATTGATACGGCTGAGGGTAAAGTGGGAGTGAAGGTTGCTTTAATCAAGATCTATTTTCATGAGTCTTGTGACCAGCAGGCTTGTGGGCAGAGTCAGCACTTTCTTTGTAAATTTGTAGATCTTATGCCCATATTAATATTTTCTAATCCTAGAACATCAGAAGTTAAAAGAAGGTTCTAATATCTAACTGATTGCTGGTTATTGGCCCTTTCTTTCCATTTTACTTTGCTCACTTTTCCCATTTCTATTGTCTATGTTCCTTGCTGTATTTTCCACAGGATTTAGTTTTTCTTGTGCTCCTTCCAATTTGTCTTTTTTTTTTCTTCTTCAATATCTTTCCTGAGTTCTGACAACTTCCATATTCTCTCTCCCATCTCTTTCTTGAGTTCTTATATTTCTGCTTTGTATTCTTCTTTCATAAAGGTGGTTTCTTCATTAAGCTTTTAAAATTGTTGGTGAAATATTGGTCAGAATTTTCATCTGTTTCATGTCAACATTTCTGGGAATGTTCTTTGGTACATTTTGCTTCTCTTTTCCACTTTTTCTCATGATACCTTTTAACAGATACTTTTTTTTTTTTTTTTTTTTTGATTACTTATAATGGATCTCCTTAGCAGTTTTTTGGAGGTTTCTTCAGGGACTGTAGTTTTGCTGGTGATTTCTGAGATCTGCTACCCTTAGGCTGTTCCACTCTTCTCTCCTTGTGTATCTTCTGCTTTATTTCTACTCAGTTCTCATGATCCTGTTGTTGTTGTGTGTCATAGAGTCGAGTCCGACTCATAGGGGCCCTATGTGACAGTGTAGAACTGCCCCCATAGGGTTTCCTAGGCTGTAATCTGTACGGGAGCAGATCACCAGGCCTTTTCTCCTGCAGAACCGCAGTTGGGTTGGAACCAGCAACCTTTCAGTTAGCAGCCAAGTGCTTACCCATTCCACTACCAGGGCTCCTCCATGATCCTACAGCCCTTGTTGTACGCAAAGTTAATGGATTTATCACTTTAGGATGAACCCCTTATCTACAGTAACTGTGTTTTTGCTGGTATGTTCTGAGACCTGCTGTTCCTGAGCCGTCTCACTATTTATTCTCACCCATACAGCTTTTGCTGCTCCGTAACCCCCCAGCATCGGCCTCTATCTGCTTTTAGTAGCCCTTATTCATTTTTTTGAGACGTTGATTACGTTTGCCTCTAGTTTCACTAATAATGGAGTTTGCTTTGTTTTTTTCTTGTTTACTTTGTTGTTTTCATTATATTCAGCAGAAAAAGAGGGAAAATTACTACCTTATGCCACCAAGTTTAGATTTAGAAAATCCTTTAGTTATATTGGAATGGGTGGCATTAAGTATAAAAGCAAATAACATGGGATTTGGAGCCATGGTTCTAATCTAAACTCTGCCACTTACTTGCATCTAATAATGAACAAATTACATCCTTTCTTCAACCATCAGTGTTCTTATCTATAAGATGGGGATAATTCTCATAAATGTTTCACATTAAGGCAATAGATACAAGGCGCCTAGCATAGTGCTTTGGAGGGCGTTGTAGTTCAGTGGTAGAATTCTCGCCTTCCATACAGGAGACTCGGGTTTGATTCCTGGCCAGTGTACTCATGTGCAGCAACCACCTGTCTGTTAGTGGAGGCTTGCATGTTGCTATAAGGCTAAACTGGTTTCAGCGGAGCTTTCAGACTAAGACAAACAGGAAAGAAAGGCCTGATGATCCACTTCTGAAAATCAGCCAATGAAAACTCTATGGATCACAATGATCTGATCCACAACCAATCATGGGGATGGTACAGGACTGGGTGGTATTTTGTTCCGTTGTGCATGGAGTCGCGATGAGTCAGGGGCCAACTCGACAGCAGCTAACAACAACATATAAACCAAAAAAACCAAACCCGTTGCTGTTGAGTCAGTTCTGCTTCATGGTAGTGCTTTGCAAATAGTAAGTGTGCAAAAAGGATAATGTTATAATGTGTCATTGATTTCTTGGCATAGGGGCCGTTCATAATTATTTTTACCCTCTCTAGATTGCTTCATGGTGGTACCACTCACTCATTAACGGTAGATGCTGTCATTGAGGCCATTGTTGGGGGCTCTTCTGCCCTCTCCCATTTTACCCACAGTTCTGTCCAGGGTAATTAGTACCACAAGAGAGGAACAGGTTGATTTCTGTGGGAGCCCTGGGGAGAAGACACTCTTCTCCAAATGGCAGGGGTAAGGGGTGGGATAACATGTGAACAGCATCTTTCAGGAAAGTCATGATTTCATCAGGGAGAAAGTGAGAAGGGCCAGAGCTGGGACTGGATGCTGGATATTCCCTGGTCCCAATTCTGGGGTCAGAGATTGGGGTGGGTGGGCATGAGGCTTTGGAACTTTGCCACATGTCCTTTGCCTCCCACCCCCAGGTGGCCTGAGAAACCAGGTGGCAGGATTCCTGTCGGAGTAGTTCTGGATGAGGTCAGATTGGAAATCCTCATGCAAGTGTAGTTAAGTTCTTCTTTTGTCCATGTCTGCTCAGGCCCCAGAGTCCCAGGCAACCACGGTCCCCATCACATCGGCCAGCAGCATCTCTGATGTAGCCTCCCATGGTCCCAGCACCTCTGGAAGTCAGGGCACTACTGAGCCTATGGATACAGAAACCCAGGAGGACAGGAGAACCTCTGCTGACCAGAGAACAGGAGGCAACAAGAACGCACAGGTGGATGGAAAGACACAGATGGACAGGAGGATGCCCACAGATGGGCAGACACAGGAAGATAGAACACAGATAACCCAGAGGACACAGGCAGAGAGCAAGACACAGGTGGACGTTGTGACACAAGAAAGTGGGGGGGCACAGGTATACAGGGGTTCACAGGAGGATGTGGTGACACAGGGAAGGGCAGGGACACAGGAAGAAAGGACACAGGCAGATGAGAAGATCCAGGAAGACAGGAAGACACAGGCAGATGAGAGGACACAAGAAGACAGAGGGATACAGGGAGAAAAGGGGAGGCCGTCAGAGGAGAATGTACCCACAGCCATAGCAAGTCAGCCAGAGGAGGAGCCCATGAGCAGCCTCAGCTCACAGTCCAGAGCCCCTGCATCCTCACCTTCAGAGGGCCCTAGGCCTCCTCAGATTACCAGATGCTTTGAGCAGACCCCAGAAGGGTCTTCTGTCCCAGAAAAACCTGGTTTTGTGCTCAGCTCTGAGGATGCAGCAGTAACAGCCTCCAGAAAACATGAGGAAACTATGCTGGGCCCCCTGTCAGGGAGCCTCACGTTCCCAGCACAGCTGCTTCCTGGGGGGAGCTTGGAGCAGATGGGAGGAGAGAGATGTCGAGGGCCAGGGTGGTCAAGCCTGGCCAAGGAGAAGATGGAGGACAGCTTGTTCCAGTGCCCCAAGGAGGACCAGCTGAGGGAAGAGCTGTCTGTGGATCTGAGCAGCTGTCCTCCAGCTGGCCTGAGCCCAGAAGTGCCCACCATGCCTTCTCTTCCTGGGACTGGCCTGACCAATAGCTCATCGGAGGGGCTGCCCAGCGCCCTTACTTCTCAGCACATGAGCACAGCTGCCGTCCTGCCCTCGGGGGCTCAGGCCTTGCTCGGGTCTTCCCCCACATTGCACCTGGGGCCGGGGACACCCACCCAGAGTCACCCACCAGAAACCATGGCTGCCAGCAGTGAGGGGGCCTGTGCCAAGGTGCCAGATGTGGAGGGTACAACCTCAGGTCCCCGGACCTGTGACCCTCGCCTCATAGATTCCCTGAAGAACTATTTGCTTCTGTTGCTAAAACTATCTGGCACAGAGACAAGTGGAGGGGCAGCAGAGTCCCAGGCGGGCATGGCGACCGGGGCCCCAGTGTCCTCACCTACTCTGGTCCCAACCGTGGAAGTGGCCGGTCTGAGCCCGCGGACGTCGCGGCGCATCTTGGAGCGCGTGGAGAACAACCACCTGGTGCAGAGTGCACAGACCCTGCTGCTGAGCCCCTGCACCTCCCGCCGCCTCACTGGTCTCCTGGACCGTGAGGTGCAGGCTGGCCAGCAGGCCTTGGCGGCTGCCCGGGGCTCCCGAGGCCCTGGCCCCAGCCCCCTCACTGTCCCCGCCATCGTGGTAGGCGAGGAGGGCCCTAGGCCAACCTTGGAAGAAGGATCCAGTGAGGGTGAGGGTGAAGGTGAAGGAGAGGTTTCCTTTGAGGGGTCTGACCTCCTAGGTGCCGCCCCGGAGAGCAGCTTGGGCAGACCAGTGAGGGAGGTGAGTGGGCAGGCAGCCCCTGGGCAGCAGGGACTGCTCTCAGCAGAGAGCAGAGCCCAGGAGCCCTTCCGAGAAGAGACAGTTCCAGGGGAGGCTCTGACAGGCCTCCCTGCAGCCACACCTGAGGAGCTGGCTCTGGGGGCCCGGAGGAAGAGATTTCTCCCTAAGGTTAGAGCAGCGGAAGACGGGGAGGCGGCCAAACCCGAAGAAAGGGAGAGTCCCACAGTTTCCCCCCGGGGGCCCAGGAAGAGCCTGGCGCCTGGGTCACCAGGGACTTCAGGGCGGGAGAAACGCTCCCCTACCCTGGGCAGGAAGGCAGGTCTGCTGGAGGTGCCGCGGGCAGAGGAGGAGCTGACACCAGGAGACCTGGGCACCAGCACCAAGGCCAGTGGCCTGGACACAGAGCTGGCCCTGGATGAAGGCAAGCAGGATGCTCTGGCCAAGTCCAGGAAAGCCAAGGACCTGCTCAAAGGTAAGCAATGGGGATGGAGTAGGGGGAGGGGGCTTCACGGGAGAGGCCTGCCAAGAAGCCACTGAGGACACTGCTGCTGCTGACAGCACCACCACCTGCCCTTGTTCAGGAACTGACAAAGCACCTTTGAGAAGGTCTTATTTAATGATCTCGCGGGCTTTGGAATTAGAAAGGTCTGGGTCTTTTCCTGGCTCTGCTACTCCGTAAAATGGGGATGAGAATAGTATCAACTTTGTAGCATTGTGAGGGTTAAATGGGATGGAATAAATCAAGGACTTATCACAGGGCCTGGCATTGAGCAGCATTCTAACGCTATCATCATCATCATCATCATCGTCCCCTCTTTACAGACTTGTCCCACAGCTACAGTGGTAGGGATGGGTTCAATGCAGGTCTCTAGAGTTAGGGGCCTAGAGAGTAAAGGGATGTCCTCTCCAGACAGCTGTCTGTCTTCCCACTGTGAAGCTCTCCCTGGCCAGGCTTCTTTCCAGCTCAGATTCGTGCTTTGGGGGTCAGAGCAGAAGCCTCAGAGATGGAGGGAGGGGGCAACAAGGGCTGGGGGCTCAGAAGTAGTGGGAGACCTGAATCCTGTTTTCTCTCAGCCTGTGCTCAGCCCTCTGCCTCTGCTTGTAAAACTGTGAGAGGGGCCAGAGAGGGCACAGGGTGGAGGGGAAGTGGCTTCTCCCTCTTAGCTGGGCCACCACTCTCAGCCCCACAGGTCATCCGGAAGATTAGGGTGGAGCAGTTCCCTGATGCCTCGGGCAGCTTGAAGCTCTGGTGCCAGTTCTTCAACATTCTTAGTGACTCAGTCTTGACATGGGCCAAGGATCAGCACCCAGTGGGCGAGGTGGGCAGGAGGTAAGCTGGCTGGGACCATCTCCACGCTACCTGGCTTCCTAAGTACAATGATGGCACTATTGGGCATTGTCCTAGCATCACAATAACCCCATCAGGGAGATGCTATTACTCCCAGAGCAGAGATGAGAAAATGGAGGCTCAGGTGTTAAGTCTCTTGCCTAAACTTGCACAGGTAATAAGTGTCACGCTGAATCTGGGTGATCTGGAACTTGCTCTCCACCACGGTGTCTCTTGGTGCCTGGGTTTTCAGCATCCTCTGGGAGTAGGGTCTGAGGATCACACTCTGCTCCATCGCATGAGCCCTGTGCATGACCTTGGCCTCACGAGAAAAGTCTCTACTCTCTGCAGTGCGGGGGACGAGGGGCCAGCGGCCTTGGCCATCGTGCAGGCGTCCCCCGTGGACTGCGGCATGTATCGGTGCACTGTCCACAATGAGCACGGCTCCGCCTCCACTGACTTCTGCCTCAGCCCTGAGGGTGAGTGTTGCCCTGCTGCCCCAAGTCTCTGCTGGACCTGGCTCCTGGGTTTGGGCAGGGGTCATCTTTGCAGAGATGGCTCCCTCTTTAGGCAGGACAGCCTGAGGGTCTCTGCTGTCTTTCTTTTTCTCCACCTAGTGTTGTCAGGATTCACCTCCAGAGAAGAAGGTGAAGGTACGGGGCCCTTGTGGGGGAGGAGGAGGAGTGGGTGGGTATTCATCCCTACCCCCACCATCTGCAGGAGGACCTTCCTGAAGGGCTTGGAATCTTCCATAATGTCACATTTACCTCCACATACAGCTACACTTTGCCTCCTAGTTTAGGAAAAGTCCTGGGGAGGATAATGGAGGAGGACTGATTTTTCAGAAGATTGTGGGGGAAAAAGTGGTTGGGGGTAGGAGGAGACGTTCTGCAAGGAGTGAGTTCAGCCTTGTGCCCTTTGTCCTTATTAGAGCCTTGATGAAGGGCAGGACTGGCCACCAGGGCACACCTTATCCCACCAGCTCCCTTCCCAGAGTTTCTGAGTGGTCTGTGGACCTCCTGAATCAGATTCACACAAGGAATCTGCTAGAAATGTAGTTTCTTGGGCCCTGCTGCAGCTATCCTTCCTTAATCACAATCTCTGGGGAAGGACCTAGGAAAATGGCATTTTCATTGGGCTTCCTGGTGATTGTGAAATACTCTGAAGTTTGACAGGCATTTTAAAGGCTCAAGTATTAAGGGGAGGGTCTGCACTGCTCCTACAAGAGACATGCTAAAGCTTGGGACTGTGAAGTCAGCCAGCAATGGAAAGATTTCGAGAGCTCCATTTACTAATTAATGTATTAATTCCTTCATTCATTTACTCATTTAATCACTCATTTATTGAACCAGTGCCTTTTGTTCAGTTATCAAATTTGATCATATTAAATAAAACCTCACATCTAAAAACATAGTAATAATTATTTAATATCATCAAATATCCAACCAGATTTCCCCAATGGTCTCATTGGTTTATTTGAATCAGGAACCACTCATTGCTTTTGGTTGATCTATCAAAGTCTCTTTTAACATATAACAGTTCCTCCTCCCTCTTTTTTCCTCCCTCCTTGCCATTTATTTATTGAAGTAACTTGATGTGTAGACTTTCTTGCATTTCTTCTTCTAGTGGGAAATGGTATTCAGTGATCACAGTTAGAGCACTAGGAGTGATCATTTCTGCTGGATTGGCCCTGTAAGCTTTTTGTTCCAGTGAAAAGTGTTGGTTGAGATGGAATCATTTAACTATTTGAGCAAAACACACAATTCTAAAACAAAGTAATTCTGGTATTCTGTAGTGATTGCTGCTAGCACAGGAAACCACTGCCTTCCACAGATTCTTGGGGAGCACTTAGCATGTGACAGGTACCACACAAGCACTATTAAATGAGAAGGATTATATCAGATAGTTTCTGCCCTCAAGGAGCTCCCAGTCTGGTAGGAGGTCAAGGTGCAGAAAGTTGGAGCACCAGGTTGGCGAGGTGAGGGATTGTTGCCAGCCTCTCACCTGCCTTACACACCCCACAGTGGTCAGGCAGAAACTTCTGTTCTTCTACATTTTTCCTGTTCCCCTTCAGTTGGAGAAGAGATTGAGATGACCCCTATGGTGTTTGCTAAGGGTCTGGCTGACTCTGGCTGCTGGGGGGACAAGCTCTTTGGGCGCCTGGTGAGCGAGGAGCTCCGAGGGGGTGGACATGGGTGTGGCCTTCAGAAGGCCTCCCAGGCCAAGGTCATCTACGGGCTGGAACCCATCTTCGAGTCAGGCTGCACCTGCATCATCAAGGTATCCAGCCTGCTTGTGTTTGGGCCAAGCAGTGAGACCTCTCTCCTGGGCAGAAACTACGACGTCACCATCCAGGTACCAAGTCCCATCCCTGTTCCCCATCCTTCTACTTTCTCACCTCCTCCTCTTTCCCAGCCTGGGTCTTGTCGGGAAATGGAGTCAGAAGCCATCTCAGTCTCAACCTTATGAGGTGCCCAGGACCAACCTTGGGGAGAGACATAGCCCAGAATCCAGATACTGTACTTGGCCTCAGAGAACTTGAGAGCATCAAAGCTATTTGGGCCATCGTTTTCAAGCTATATTTTTGCAGCAGAAAACTTTCTCCCTGCCCCCCAAACATAATCTTACATGGAAGCCTTATAAATGCAGTTAAGGGGGAGTGACTATGGATGGGGCAGATGGTCTGGTACTCCACCCATTCAGCCTATTCCTTGCTTTCCACAGGGTGGCCCCTGGGGCACTGCCACTATCATTAGGACTCCAGGGGACACAGTTTGGAAACCACTTTGAAAACCTCAGTTTTCAAAAGTCCAAAGCCCTTTGTTTTGCAAATGAGAAAAATGAGGTTCAGAGTAGAGAGCAGGGCAGATGGGAACCCCATTTCCCCCCAGAACTGGACTCCTCCCCACAGCCCCCTAACAAGTGGCCTCCCACTTAGAGCAGCCTGACAGAGAGCCAGGAAGTTCTTTGCTAATCTGATTTGGTTCCCTATAATCCACAGGGATGTAAGATCCAGAACATGAGTCGCGAGTACTGCAAAATCTTTGCGGCTGAAGCCCGGGCTGTGCCTGGCTTTGGGGAGGTGCCTGAGTAAGTACACAAAGAGGGGGGCCATGAGGTACACAGGCCTATTGCCTTCAGCTTCCCCAAAGAACAGTGATCGCACAGTCTCCTGGGGCATCCTGAGTTATGGCCATGTGCAAATGGGCCCACAGTTACCCCTATGCTCAGCTCAGTGTTCCCTCAAAATCTAGAAATGAAGACCTAAAGATTCACTCCCCACTTTGGAAAAGCCTCTGCCCTGATCTCAGGTCTTCTCCCATCCCTATCCCCTCCTCCTTAGACTGGTTTTTGCTGATTGCAGAGTTTTGAAATTGATGGGGATGGGTAAGCTTCTAGGCAACTTGGGGACTTTTCCGTGTAAGCAGTCAGGGTTGGTGTGGATTTTTGTAGGAGTCAGAGATAAATGGTAATCATTTTCATTTCAAGACTTGCATTCTGACTATGAATATCTAGGGTCTGACTGCTATTGAGCCCAGCTGGTTGAATCCTCTCTAGAGGTGTTCCTCTCTGAGACATACTTACCTCAGTCCCTCGCCTAAGCACAGAGTCCACCTTGGGCCACAGCAGGGTTCACTTCTAGTCCCACTGGCCACAGAGAATGGATAGGACTCTGAAGCCAATGACTTCCATTTCCTTTCCTGAACTTGGGGTGGAGCTCCCCTCTCTTGCTGTCCTTCAGGCTCAGAGCCAAGAATTCCATTCTTGGAAGGGACCTCCTTTTAGATCTAAGAGTACAGAATTGGGATGGAGGGATGAGCTCTCTGGAGTCATACTTCCTGCTCACAGCAGAATGAAACTATGTTTAGGATCATCCCACTGTATCTGATCTACCGGCCTGCAAACAGTATCCCATATGCCACCCTGGAGGAGGACCTGGGCAAGCCCCTGGAGTCTTACTGTTCTCGGGAATGGGGCTGTCCTGGGGCCCCAGCAGCGTCTAGCAACTCTGAGGCTGTGCAGAAATGCCAGACCTTCCAGCACTGGTTGTATCAGTGGACAAATGGCAGCTTCCTTGTCACAGATTTGGCAGGTATGAGGGTGTGAGGGTGTGCATGTGTGTGACAGCATGTGGAGGGGTAAAGCCACAGTGCTTGTTTGATAGTTGACAAAGCATTTTAGTATTTACTCTCCTCTACTCTTCACAATAACCTTGTAGAGTAGATTGGATGCAACCCAAATACATACCAGGGTCTTATGTAGTCCAGTCTATAAGTGAAGTTGCATTTAAAGGAATATAGTCCAGCCCCCATTTAAAATTAAAAAAGAATTTATTTCAGAGAACATTACATAGGATAGAATTCCAAACTCACAGCCACCCTTTTCAAAATCTCCCTTTCTCCCTACCCTGTAGCTACTCTGAACTTTCTCACTCTCCATGAACTCTTTTATTCCAGAACAAAGAGCTTTACTTGTCTTCCCTTCCTCCTCCATCTTTCTTAGCGTTCCATTATGTAAATCAATGTAGTCTCTCTGGCTTCTTTTTAGTTTTATTTATGTTTCTCCCATTACCCAGATTCTCCCCCAACAAAGAAAGCTCAGTGAACATGAATCCTTTTTCCTGCTTTGACCAGTCCTCTCCAGGCCTGTTCTCTTAAACCAGAACGGGAAAGGGGAGAGGAAAAGACAAAATTCTTATACTGGAAGGGGAGAAGGGCTGGGAGTATCACACATTATTAAATCTTGTCCTTGATATAAATAAGTGAGAAAACCAAGGGCCAAAGGTATAAAACTGGCTCAACTGTGCTTTTCTTTGGAGTTAAGTTTTATAATAAATATTGTATCGTTAACTCCATATATTTGGAGTGAGAGAGACTAGATAACACGCTAAGCCATTATCATTCACTCTGTTAACTCATAAGTTCATGCTTCCTTCCATCCATCTGCTTATCCATCCATCCATCCATCCATCCATCCATCTGACATTTACTAAATATTGGGAAGATACCAACATGAATAAGGCATAGCCCTTGCCTTCAAAAGCGGGGAGAAGTACACCAGTTTCTCTAATAAGATGATAACATGGTGTAGCAGAAAGATTTTGGAGTCAAAGAAATTCGACTTAAGTCTAGGCCTCATCATTTCTAGCTGGGTCTCTGTTTTATAGAGGAGAAAATGAAAGCACAGATAGGTTAGGTTATTTAATCTCTCTGAGCCTTTGTTTCCTTTCCTTCTGCAGGACTAATGGTATATTTTCTTCCTATGTCCCAGGTTTGTTATGGGGGTTAAGTGGGGCCATATTTGTAAAAGCCTTGGGTAAACTGTAAAATTGTGTGCGAATGTAAGAGGTCATCATTATTAATATACGAGATAGAATGTGATAAATGCCGAAAGAGACCTGACAAAGAAACTCCTGTTTATTGTATACATACTATGTTTCAGGCACAAGGTTAAAGTCCTGCGTGTATTTGTGATCTTCTCAACACCCCTATTAGATGGGCATTATTATCCTCACCTTAACAGTTGAGGATTAGAGATATTAAGTGAATTGCCAAGTTCACACAACTCAAAAGTGACATAATTCTAAATCCCACACTTGTTCTGCTCTATCAGGCCTGATAGTGAAAGGCAAGTTCCTAGAGGCATACTACCTAGACAGGTTGGAAATGGGGAAGGAGGGCCACAAGTCTAATGCATGAGTGATGAGATACTGGGGTGATGGAAAAATTTCTCCATCACTATTTTGCCTGGCTCTGTTCTTCCAAGGGTACCTTAACCCAGAAGACCACCTTGGCTTCTTGGAGAGCTGGCTGCCTGTATGATAGTGTGGAAGTCAGTCTTACCCAGTGTTAAATTTCCTCTGGTTCGCCTCTAATTTATCTTCACATTCTCATCTTCTGTCTCTTGACTAGATAAACTAATCTGTTAAGGGGGAGGAGGAGGATTTAGCTCAAAGCCAGAGTCTAGCCAAGTCTGTGGTCTGAGCTGATCCAGTAAGGCAAAATTGCATAATTGGGAGAGTTTTGGATCCAGGAGTCAGAAAAGCTGAACTTTTACATTGACTCACAGTGATTGGTCATTGCATATAGTCAGTACTCAATTGGACAAATGAATCAAAGTGACTTTGCTCAAGTCATTTAACTCTTAGCCCATCTCCTCACCTGTAAAAATTGCATATAGTCACTAGTGAATTGAACAAACGAATCAATGTGACTTTGCTCAAGTCATTTAACTCTTAGCACATCTACTCACCTGTAAAAATGGGAATATCATTACTACTAATAATACAGAGATACCCACACTGCCCATCTCCTCACCTGTAAAAATGGGAATATTATTACTACTAATAATACAGAGATACCCCCACTGCATATGAGACAGGCTGGTGGTGATGACCCAGGGAAGGGATGCCTGAAGAAGTACCCTGAAACCTGGGACATCCCCATCTGAAGTGATGTCCTTCCTGTGGACATGGGGCCTTGGATCCAGTCTGGACAAAGGCAGGCTCACACACACCAACCCCAAACTTTCTCTCTTTTTAGGGGTTGACTGGAAGATGACTAATGTGCAGATTGCCACCAAACTGCGAGGGTGAGTGGTTCTTAGGGACAGAATACTCTTGGAGAGTCCTCTCCAGGCAAAAAATGTCCTAAGTCCTTCTGGTTCTTCATCCCTGAGCTGCTGGACTTGGGGCCAAATGGTCCCAGTCACACCGATGGCCATGTGGAAACACTCTAGGGGCTGTCGAACCCCACCTGCTGTGCCCTGACCCCAGGTCTGGACTGGCAACTAGTGACTAACAGGCCTGAGTACCATGGTCCAAGGCCCAGGGTCCACACGTACACCTGCAATTCCGGGTTTTCACCCAAGAAAGCCCATCGGGATGCAGATGATCAAGGCCCCCATGATTAGAGTGATGACCTTGAGTCTGCTCTAATTAAATAAAAAGGTAAATCATCTTCACACCAATTAATGTCCCACATGGGGGATTCCATGTGCCAGGGTATAATGGAGATTTTAGTTGCTGCCACCTAAGGTAGCACCCAGGGAAGGTTCCCTACCACCCCCAAGTAGAATAGGATGTACTCTAGGCACCACATCCTGACCATGGGCATCCCAAAATCTGCCCCCCTAAGGGGCTCCTGCTCTAGGTTAGGGTGCCGAGTGCCATCCTAGGGCCTCAGCTCTCACTCTTCGGCACAGGTACCAAGGCCTCAAGGAGAGCTGTTTCCCTGCCCTGCTGGACCAGTTTGCCTCCTCACACCAGTGCAACGCCTATTGTGAGATGCTGGGGCTAAAAACTATCAAGGGCCCTGAGGTTGCCCATGCCCAGGCCAAGCCCAAAGGCTCCAAGAGTCCATCGTCTGGCAGGAAGGGTGGCCAGCTGAGTCCTCAGCCCCAAAAGAAAGGCCCGCCCAGTCCTCAGGGCACCCGCAAGAGTGCCCCAAGCTCCAAGGCCACTCCTCAGGCCTCAGAGGCAGTCACTGCCCAGTTATTGGGACAGCCTGCCACCCAAGAAGGGGGCTCCAAGGTCCAGGGCATGCGGTAGCCCCCACAGGAGGCTGGGAGCCTCCACTCAGCGGCAGACCAACCAGGAAGCAGCTTGAACCCGATGGAGACTTTCGCAATACAGAACTAACTGGAGATGGTGCGCTGAGGAGACACCACTTGGGGACCCCTCTGAGCAACCTCTCCTCAGTCAGCTCCTCATCAGACGGCTTTGGTGTGTGGCACACACTGGCCTCTCCTGGTGCCATGCGTCACCCAGGGCTCTCAGGTCTTGAGTGACCCCACCTCCAAGTGCCTGGCAGCCTAGGCCCTCCTTGAAGTTTACACTCGCCACTGCTGGAGGCTCCTGGAGTCCTCTGCATGAATGCTGCACCCCACCACTGCCCCCAGCCAAACCCTGCAGTGAATGTTGTCCTCTAGAGGCACGCAGGCCCCCACCCACCCTCTTACCCTTGCTCGGCCCTGATCCCTCCCTGTCCTCAAGGCTCCAGACCTGCTCTGCTGTGTCTGGCCTGGTGACTCTCAGGGTCTCTCCTTCTTCTAGTTACTTTGCCTCATGATCCCAGCTTATCCTGCAACTAACCTGCCCTGAGCCCAGATGGGGCTCCGGGCCCTTCCAGCGCCTGTCATGTCCCTTGTGTGGTGGTCTTTGATGATGCATGTTCATGCTCTTGCTTCCTCCATCACTTAGGCACTCATCTGCTTCCCATGCCCCCTTGCACCCTGCACATCCCTGGCTTTGAGCCCAGTTGCAGCCTGCTGCCTGCCCTTCCCGGACTCTGCCCAATGGCTACACTCACCCTGACTCCACGTCTGCTCACCAATACCCAGGAGAGGAGCTGACCTTCTGGCCTCTCACTCCACCCCAGTATACTTTTCCTTACTTCTCCTGAGCTCTTTGCCCATGAGGCGAAGGCTGGCATGAAGATTTTGTCAGCAGCTGTGGCCAGAGGGAAGGTGTTGATTTTCAGGGACCTTGTGCTCCATACTGAAAGGAAGTGGGAGTCACAGTGAATTTCACATCCCCTCTCCATCAGGGTGGAGGGCTGGGACTTCCCCATGGGGGAGTTCTAGGGAGGATACGTACATACATACATCCATACATTGGGGTGGGAACTAGGATCCCTGCCATCAACCATTAGCTCCTGATCTAGGGCTCCAGCTCTGGTGCTTCATGTATGGACTCCCAAGGAATTGCTGTGCTTGGCCAGCACCCTGGATCCTCCTGAGCGTCCCTCCTTGAAGCCTGGGTTGGGCTGGGTCTGGAGTTAGCTTGCTTCTCTTGGAGTGCAATAAAGGCAGCAACTGTGTATACTGCTCATCCTCATCTGGTGTGGTTGAAGGTGTATGGTTCCCAGGGTCCCCTGTCTCCAGGCAGATTCTCTGAGGGCGTCCTACAGTCCCTGGGCCCACTTTAAAACTGAATCCATGTTCTGGCTTCCAGACTGAAGCTCACTCTCAGCCATCGGTGGCCACAGCTTGATGGCCTTTGCTTTCTGCACAACTGGGCTGAAGGCTTGTGTGCCCCTTAGCAGGGTGTCTGGGGACGTATACCTTTGGAATTGCTCCTTCATTTAGAAGAGGAACCCAAAGGAAGGAGCCAGAAAGAAGTGGAGCAGGATTGGGGGATCTGGGGACCCTCCCTGGCTCCCTCCACTGCAGCAATACCACCCAGGAGACAACCAGCTTCTGCCCCTTAGCTACTCACTGACCACTTTCTGCTTCTCAAGCTGCGGAGAAACTTCCCTTTTTATTCCCAATCCCCTCCCCCCATCACCCATGTCTTTTTCTTGCCTGACATTTCCCCCTCCATTTGACATTTCTGACTTCTCTCCTTCCCCTGGTGCTCAGTTGACTCTCAACCCACTTTTCCTTCTTGTCTCAATGTGCCTCCAACTCTCCCAGCCTGAATATCCAGAGTGCTTTGGTGAGCTGAGAACTGGATATTATTCATTAACTTACTGATTCATCCACTCATTTAGCAACTAGCAACTATATGCCGAGCACCTACTTTATGCGAGACCTGGACTGGTACCTTATGGGAGGCAAAGAAGTATGAGGCAGGCTCAGACGAGACTGTCTATCCATTAGGGTTCTTGGATTTTGAGCAATGGAGATTGACTGGGACCAACTTAATCAAAGAAAAAGGATTCATGGGAAGGATGCTGGGGTAACTCACAGAACCAAAGGAATAGCTGAACAATTGGCCTTGGGAAGGGTGGGAGCCAGGGCAGCTCCAGGGCTCGTCTCCCAGGGGCTGCTGGTGTTGGCAGATCCACAGCAACCAGTGGGTCTCCCTCCACTCAAGATTCAAATTCCCAGTGAAAGAATCTGACCTGGAGCTTTCGTATTGTGGACTGGGAGAGAGGCAGTTTCTCAAAGGATGTGGTCACGCACGCACACACGCACACATGCACATCCATGCACTCCAGTCTTCCCACCTGATGTATTACAACTCTCCCAAATACAACCAAAAATTTCCTCTCTGCTTAGAGACAGTTCAAGGTCACATCTAGCTACTAGTCCAGGGGTAATGACCCAGGGCTACCATTCTGTAAGTCCAGTATCTCTAGTGATACTCTTTTCTCTTTTAGTTTTATCATAGTCCTGTTTTGAAATTCTGCAACCTGTGGATTAACTAGTAAAATTAACCATGTTCAATCAAAATTATGTAACCCAGCACAAAATGAAATATGGGTAAAGGCTACAGTCTGTTTCTATGAGGACTGGTGTTTATGAATAGAGACTCTTTGTTGGAATGACCCAAATCGTCAGTTCTGAAGTTTGGCTCCTTGGCATTCTTGCCTGCGTGACAGGTATTTACACTGGACGTGGCAGTACCAAGAAGCACTCCAGGGAATGCCCACACTTCCGTCTGTGTTCTTGCTGCCTTTTATGTAGCAGCAACTATATTTTCCCTTATACAGCTAATCATCCTAGCTCCTCGCATAACCTCTTGTTATCCATCACTCAGCGGTATAAGGACTGAAATGGTCAGGTGGCTGCTTCAGCTTCTAATTCAGTTGAATCTTTTTGTAACATGTTTTTCCTGTGAGGACTAAAACCTCTACATCAGCTACTCCCAAACCTCAGGTATGAGAAAAGTGTTGAGGATGGGTCAACAGATGTAGTGATACCTCGCCCACCTCCACGCTGCTTCCTAGCCTTGTAGGAGAAATGTCCTTGGGTGGTGTAAACCGTTAACGTGCTTGGCTGCTTAACCGAAACGTTGGCAGGTCGAGTCCACCCAGAAGCACCTTGGAAGTTAGACCTGGTGATCTACTTCTGAAAAATTAGCCATTGAAAACCGTTTGGAGCACAGTTGTACTCTGACACACATGATGTTGCCATGAGTTGGAATCAACTCAACAGAAACTGGTTGCCAGTTCAGAGGTTATGCTACATCTTGCACAACTGACCCAACCTCACAAGGTGTTTCCCAGCAGTGCCATGTCTGAGTTTCCAGCAAACCATTTCACCATCTATCAGGCCAACTGCTTCTGGTTTGTGGGGATCCTGGCAAAACAAGTGAATGCAATAGGCATCAACCCATTACCTTACTATTGCTGTAAAGTGAGTTATTTAGTTGAAGGCAATGTGTAGGGGTACTATAATGATGTTTAGGACATTTGATAATTCCATGGATATTGATGGTGAAAGAGGCATGGTGGGTAAGGAAAGCAAATCCAAATGCAGAACAAGGGCCCATACTAATGAAGACAAATTTCTGCCCCCTCTTAAAGCCATAGGTGTATATTGAGGGAAGCTCAGCAGTATGGCAGGTGTAGCATTGCAGAAGGCTGAGTGAGCAATCCACACACATTGCTTCCTTGTGCCTTTAGAGTCTGCTCTAGGACTGTCATGGAGAGTCCATGTCCACTTGTGGTGGGGTGCTTCTGGCCATGCCTGATTTTATGGCTAGGTGGATCAGATAACGCCAGTTCATGAGGGACAGCATGGCCATCTGATATGCTGTAACCAAGCATTTAGGCTTCTCCAGAGCCCAGTGACAAGCCAGAGGGCATTTTTCAAATGACAGTAGTTACTTGTTGGCCAGAGCATCATTTTGCTCCAAATCCTAGGTTCTCTACTGCATTTTTCTTCTCAGAACTTGCCATACACTCCATACAGCACTACTCTCTACCACAGGCTCCACATGGCTCCCCAATATACCACAGACAGATACCTCAAGCACCATTAGGTCTGCCAGATCATGAGCCTGGGGGCAGAGCCATTTGTAATAAAGGCTTTCCCAGCTGGAGAGCCTTCACTTGCTCTAGGTCCAACCCAAAGCTGGCAGCCTTCTGGGTCAGTCAGTACATGGGTTGCAAGATACTCAAAAGTGGCATATATTGCCTGGAATGGACCTTAGTAGATAGTTGTTCAAAATGCAGTAATTTGTCCTACATTGTGGAGGAAATACTCTGACTGCACCAGACCCTCTACCCCCAGGAACTTTATTGAAGGGCAGATCTTTGTGTTTTCCTGTGATTTATCTCCCACCTCTGGCTCACATGTGTCTTGCCGAGACATCCAGGGAATCTGCTGTGCTCCAGGAAGCATCAGCGTGATACTATCAATATGATGACATTGTGGTGGGGAGAAAGTCATGGTCTCTCTGAGGCAGGTAGTGGCACAGAGCTGGACAGCTACAATATTATATATCTTTAAGCCAGCACAGCACTGGAGTATTCCTGCTCTGCTAGGTGAAGGTGAATTCCTTCTGATGTTCCCTGTTCATTAAAATGGAGGAAAAATAAGTTCACTGGATCAAATGATTCTTACCAAGTGCCAGGAGCTGGATGAATTTGCTCCAGCAAGACCATACCTGGACCAGCACCTGCAATTGGAGTCATCACTTTTTAAAGTACACAATAATCCACTGGTCAAACTGAGCTGTGATAGGAAATCACCATGAAGTCACAAGTATTTGATGGTGACATTACTTTCTACAGATCCCCCAGGAATATGTTATTATTTTTTATTTACCGTTTTAGTGTTGTTGTTAGGTGTCCTCGAGTCAGTTCCAACTCATAGCGA